GTGAGAAGTGATGCCATTAAAATTACTTTCGATTCTGCACAGGAAATGAAATTATTAAGAACAAGTAGCCCAGTTTTGTCAAATAACGCTATTTAAGGGCATTTTGAGTAGCAAAGGATGACAAAAGACATAAGAATAAACGTATCATCTCCACTTGTGTGTGGCAACAGGATATGATTTACAAAAGAAAAATGAAATCATCGTGATTGTTAGAGGAACTGAATTGTGGCTCATGTAAAAATTAGTCTAACCATGAATCAACTGAGTCACAATGCATGCATGTGACTCCTCAGACATAAAGAATGCAAATGCTTAAGACTATGAGTGGTAAGACCTCTAATAGCAAAGTAGCCACTTCCTGCCAAATATACAAATATTATGGAAGTACACAAGTATCTTCATTCAGTTATAGCTATTACATTACACTGGGTGCTCAGATACTCTGATAGCTCAGGAACTTCTCACACACCCTTTCTTTGTGCTGTTTCTGTCATTTGTGCTACCCTATAGTCTCATTCAGGGCTCTCCCATGAGCTTTACCTGTGTATCTCATAGGTGTATGATATCAATGTGTTCAAAGTTCACGTCATTGTTTTCCATCCCAAACATGGTCCTCCTCATTAGTATCCAGCCAGTTATTTAAGCAATTAAAGGAATTACCTTATACTCACAAAAGGTTCCTATAAGACTTTGTACTTCCAGTGGGTTATCTAGTCCTGTAACTACTCAAAGCTTGATAAGTGTCCCTTCCTTTCTTATTTTTATTGTGATTGCTTTTGCTCAAGTTCTTACCATCACTTGCCTGGAATAATGTTCAGAAGAAGAGCTTGACCGATTGGCTTCTAGTCTTGTATTATTCCAAATCTTCCCTACGTTGCTCTTAGGTATAATGTATTTTTAACAACAAAAAAGCAAAATGAGCCCACACCGAAACAAGACAAACCCAACATGACCATGTCACTCCCATACGTGCTATTTCTCAAAGGCTCTCTGTTGTTTGTAAGACAAAGTTCAGATTCTTTAGCAAGTCATACTGTGACTCCCCTCTCCTTTTTGGCTTTGTGTTCTTCCCGTGTGGTCTGCGAGCCAGCTACGCCAAGTCTTTTGCCATTCCCCAAACCCATCACGTCTTTCATCCTGAGATGCACAGTGTTTTCCTCTGCCTGAAATACCCTTCATAACTTGTTAGCTGAGAATTTCTCATCCTCAATGTCCTGTACAACAGGGTGATAATAGTGCTTACTTCAGAGGGTTGTCATGAGGACTAAATATCAAAGAAGCTCTCCCCATAGTGTGGTGTTCAGCAGCACTCACTGAATGTTATCTGTCATTGTCATTATCTTTGTTTTGTTTTGTTTTTCCCAAATCTAAACAAAACATCTACTTTGATGAAAATCTTCCCTGACTTATCTAGAAGTGTTCGACATTACTCCTCTCCAATTTTATATCCCTTATTCTAGTATCAAATCAAATCAACTTCAGAATGGATGGAATGTTCATATTTTAGCACTTCTGATATTCAAAAACATCGCACAACCTATGATACATCATGGTTTAATTCCCAGCAATTTTTCTTTTTTAGTAGTACTTGTAATAATAATGTTTCTTACAATGAATGGCATATTAGATGAGATACTATACTTACGCTGTAAGATAATTGTCATAAAAATTTGATTATCCAGGGTGGATAATGCATACTGATTATGGATGGAAAAAATCCTACATTTTCTATGAATCAGTGAAATATTAACATAAGAAGAGGGATCACTAGTTAGAACTCCATAGTAGCCAAGAGATATTCCACTTGTGTATTATGCAGCTTGGCCAAGCCCCACCCCTGGAACCACAGAGGAGTGCTCTGATGAGGTTGCACGCTGGCATCTCATTCCATGTAACATCCCTATCTGAGAGTCAAACCATGGCCAGACCCAGAGCAAAAGCAGGGAGAGGCAAGTTTACGAACCTGAATTCCAACCCAGATTCACACTGAAGAAGGAAGAGTAAAAAAGTGCAGAGTGGGGGCAGAGGAATGAGATACAAAAGGCCAAGAGACCATGTCTTCTAGACGCGCACTTTCCAATAGAAATATAAAGTAAGCCACAGATATAACTTTAAATTTTCTAGCAGCCACGCCTAAAAACTAAAAGAAACAGGTAAATTAACATTTTATTTACTTAATCCAATATATTTAAAATATAATTTTATCACGTAACCAACACAAAAATCAGAAATGAAATATGTGGGGTTTTATTGCACTATGTCTTCAAAAATCTGCTATGTATTTTACCCTTACACATATCTTAAATTGGATTAGCCTCATTTCAGTTGCTCAACAGCTGCATGTGGCTAGTGCCTATCATATGTAATATTGGACAGTACAATTCTACATTGATTTTTGACCAACTTAGTTAAGTAATGAGATAACAGTAATAGACTACTTCAGCAGTGGCTCTTTTTATCACGCAATACTGGGCATATTTAGGGCTCCTACAGTATTTATTACTTTTTATTTTTTTATTTTATATTTATAAGTATTTTATTACTTATTACTTTTAAACTGTTTACAGAATGATAATTTTCCTTTAGATTCTTTTTGTGCTGTGTTTTGGCCGATTTTGTTTAAACTATGATTCAAGGTCATTCTTAATATCCTTCCCATATTCTCTTCCCTGTGTTGGGTACAGGAGAGCTGACTCCTTTATTCCATCAGATCTTTCCCCAAAAGAAAGTCCTGGGAGAGCAACAAGAAGGATACGATTCCCCTCAGTATTCCCAGCATTTATTGCAGTCCCAACATACAGCAGACTCAGAAAAAACATCTTTGAATACACACTGAAAGGTGAAGGAAGCTAGACAATAGTGGTTTTCAACCTGGGCTGCCGGCTGGAATCCCCTGGGGAGTAAAAACGCAGATGCCTGTTCCTGCCCCCAGAGATGCTGGTGGGAGGTCTTGAGTGTGGCCTGGGTGTCAAAATTTTTTAAATCCCACCCCCCCCCCCCCCCCCCCAGGTGATTCTCTTGTGCAGCCAGGGTTGGGAACCACCGTTCTAAGGCTTTCTTAAAGCATCTTTCTGTGGCCACGTCCTTCCCTCTCTGACGTGAGGTCCACTTTGCCTCAAGTCAATCCCCTCTCTGAGAACAGACAAAGTGTTTCTAGAGAAACCTCATAAGGACGAGACTAACACAAAACCCCAAAATGAATTTGCAAATTCCTTTTCCAAGGCACTAAAGAAGATATTCAAGGGTTTAAACATTTTCATATTTATCTTTTTCTAACAAAAAGAATCAAATGTACAATTTAAGTTTTTAAGATGCCAGCTGGTTTAAGGAGAAAGGATTAAGGTCACTACAGCATACAGGCAGATATACACCTCACAGAATTTTCCAGATATAGAATAATAGGAATTAAAATAAAAATGAAACCTAAGTACATGTAAACCTCATTTCAAGTCAATTCCATACATATCAAAAGCAGTAATTCTTAACTGGGGGTCAGCAAAGGGAAGTATTTCATGCTTTTCTTCAGCACCTCAAGGTTATACTTACATGGCATAAGCATAAAGCAATTCATCTAGTTTGATAAGTCACATACAAAACCCACCTTAATTTAGTCACCCAACACATAAGTGCTGGTATCACTGTTTGCCCCCAGCCTGGCACTCTTCCCGACAGCATTACTTGCGTCAGGTGCAATATGCAGCAGTGTCCAAGGGAAAACCCTGACTTCCACTTCAACACAAACAAGCTCTCGCTGCGGAGGAGGGGCGAGTGAGCTCTGTACCAAGGGAGCAGCTGAAACGGAGTTCCCCTGAATCACGGTCTGAGAATTTCCCTACCAATTCCCAACGTGGTTTGGCCATATTGTGTGGATTCACCCTACTTAATGATCCATTCCTGATGGTGTGGTATCATGTGACCTTATTAATAAATAGAAACAGTATGTTGATATATCTCCAAATGTTCCCATGTGCATTTCCTCTGGCTTTCCAGCAAACACAAAAATTCTAACTACGCTACACTTTTTTCCTTATTGAGACATAATTGGCATGTAACATTATATTAGTTTCAGGTGTACACATAATGATTCGATATATGTCTATATTGTGAAATGATGATCATAATAAGTCTAGTTAACATCCATCCCACACAGTAAAAACAATTTTTTTCTGCAGATGACAGTTATTAAGATCTACTTTCTTAGCAACTTCCAAACACACAATACAGTACTATTAGCTATAATCACCATGCTGCATAGTACAGCCCCAGGACCTTTTTCTTAAACTAGAAGTTGTGCCCCACACTTATTTTTGTTTCACATCTTAAGCTGAATTTGAGAATTTAGAATAGAAACTATCCACAATGCAGTACACTCCCATGTTCACTAACAGTGACTGACAAAAGTTCTCTACTCCTGCCAAAATCATGGAGGAAGAAACATAACCCGGTGAGCTTTCTAAATAAGTGCTGGGTCTCATGCATATCCCTTCCACCTACTAACCCCAAAGGACCGATGGCTGCCAAGTGACTGGATGTGTGACATTCACATGCCCCCAATTTTCCGTTTTGAAAAGTAATGGAAACTACAACACAAATTTCCAAATTGCTACATTAATAAAACCAACAAGATAATCACCATACTCCCATCCAGGCTGACCGCAAACCTGAAATGCACAATTGCCTAAGCCTTGCACATATGTTGTCTGTCAGTTATCATGCTCAGGATCTGCCTGGGTTCCATGAAGTCTTCTGCCCAAAGTTTACAAAAATAGGAGTAATGTTAAAAATTTAAAATAGCAATACAGATTTGAAAGGTGACATAAAAGTTATAGGACAACTCCATCTTCATGGAGTATGTAACTACCATGGGAAGACAGACTAATAGGATCATTGAAGCTGCCAGTGGTCAGCCAGGATGCATGGGGCAGGGGGCCTCAGAGAGGGATCGTGGAATGAAGGATGCTGCAGAGCATCATGTATGTGCAGCTGACACAGCTTCCTACCTTTCTGGAAGAACTCTTCCAGCTTGTCTTTGAAAGGCTGGAGATACTCCCTTGGTGACTCCTTGCACACCACCGCCATCTGTTTCTCACTTGCTGTGAAGAGAAGTTTGGAGTTAGACTTCCCAGGAACATGTATTTGCTGAATTCGTGCTGTGAGCTATAGTCTCCGGTATTAATTGTGCAGAATCCTTACCAATCACTGTTTACTCAAATTCAAGCAGAGAAAGCACAAACAAAAACAACACAAACAAACAAAAGTAAAGAGCTCACTCTACGCCTTTGTTCAGGAACAGGAAGATGCACCTTCAGCTTTCCATTTAGAGATGCTGCAAAACCTCTGACTTGGGACAGATGAAGCACTCTGATTTGGGCCTCTCAAAAACAGAGGCAAAAACTATTGATGGATGAGTCCCAGGGAATTGAGGGTCCTAACCCTTCTCAGATCACTCACCAAAAGTAGAGCTTGAAACCAATTTCGTAGAAATTCTCACACATTCAAGTTGCCTTGAACAACCAAAGTAGCTATTCCTCAGGGTGACACCCATTCCCAACATGAGAACTAAGCCCAGGTTAGGGAGGACCACATCTCTCTTCATGCTTTCTATTCATCTACCCTTCTCACTGATACTCTGCTGACACATGTGAAATTATTTCATTTGTGACTTACATCCCTAGAATTTTTAGAAAGGGAATGGCTGTTATTGGAAATAAAAATCTGATAAATTCTTGAGTCAAGTATCCCACCATCCCCAAATGAGGACCTGGGTGAGCGTTACATAATATTCTGGCTTCAGGAAAAGAAAAGTTTTTTTTGTTTTTGTTTTTTCATAATGGCAGAAGAACTTTAATCTCTTTCAGGTAAAGAGATGGACATGGAAAGACAAGGGTAGCAAAAGAGAAGAACAATTGGATTGGAGAAGGATGGCCCATGGGCCATCCCCACAGCTTCAGTAAAGCCTTCGGAACTCAATGTGGGCTGTGAGCACTAAAGGAGGGGCGGAATTTTACACTGAGTTTGGGTCTAGTGCAGAACAAAGACACCTCTCAAGGAGGGAGAGGTACCCCTTCCCATGCACCTCTTTAATCCCCTTTCCTTCAAATCTGATGGATAGCTTTATTTTTCGACAGAGATAGGATTTTGGCATAAATAGTTCTTAGATCATAGGAGACAGGGTGGTTTCTAGCCCTACTATGCATATAAATAGTATTATACAAATACTCATACATTCAAAGTATTTACTGAATATCTGACTATGCCACTGTGCCAAATGTTAGGAAAAAATATTGAACCAGACCTATTGGTCATCTCTCCTCTAAAAATGTTCATCAGAGTCTAGAAATAGAGGGAGAAGGGGATCAGCATATTGTATTACGTTTTCATGGGATACTGTGGTCGGGTGGTGGTCAGGGAAGGTTTTCCAGAAAAGGTAACATGTGTTGAATTGCAAAGGTCAAGGAGGACTTAGCCAGCTAGTCAAGGAGAATTAAAAAAATAAGGAATAGTTTCAGAAAGAGGAAATATAATGAGTAAAAATTAAGCAGAATGGGAATGCATGGGTCTTTTGGGATAAGATAAATGGTAATAGTATGACTGGACCTCAGGACATGGACCTTCACCCCTTCCAAGGCCTATAGTATCCTGTGTCTAGATTTTGATTCAAAGGCACAAGATTCAAGGAACTGGATTCAAAAGCATTGGAACTACCCTGATCAGGAAAGAGAGGTCAGATAAGGCTACAGAAGTGGGAGGCTTGTATAATTTTATTCATTCATTCATTCATTCATTCATTCATTCTTTACCTGAGGACAGCTTTTTCATTGTTTTTTTAGAGAGAGAAAGGGAGAGAGAAATATTGATAGGCTGTCTCCTATACATGCCCGGATCATGGATTGTACATACCCGGCCCGGAGATCAAACCCACAACCTAGGTATGTGCCTTGACCAGGAGTTGAGCCCAGAACCTTTCAGTTACAGTACAACAATCAAAGCAACTGAGCCATACCAGCCAGGGCAAGGCTGGTACAAATTTAAAGTGGTCAAGAAAAGTTTCACTGTGAAGATATTTGACCAGAGACATGACCAAGGTAAAGAAGGGAGCCATGAGAAAGTTTGAGGGTAAAAATCAAAAGTTATTTAGAACACAGTAAGTTTGAGATGCCAATTAGATATTCACATTATATACAAAAGTCTGCAGTTTAGGATGCATGGGCTGGGATAGAAATACATATCAGGAAGTTGTAGGCATAAAATTGGTATTTAAAACCACAAAAGCAAATGAATTGGTAGAGAAAGAATGTAGCCAAAGAAGAGAAGGGGTTGCAGACAAACCCCGAGGCATGCATGCAATGGAGGAGAGGCCAGAAAAGAATGGGGGAATAAGCAAAAAAGCAGGAAAGTGGAAGTATAGAACCACATGATTTGAGAGGAAAACAGTATGGCAAGAAAGAAAGAGCAGTCAGCTCTCTGCAATCCTGTTGAAAGGTCAAGCAGAAGACAGAGATATGACCACTGATTGCAGCAACATGGAAGTCACTGGGCCTCTCGAAAGCAATTTCAGGGAATGAGGGGTGCAGGGAGGAAACCAAATTGGAGAGGGTTAGGGTAGGTAGAGAGAGATTCTACAGCTACTTGTTTAAAAAACCAAGCCTGAGAAAGAAGAGCAATATAAGGAACATCCTTCTACCCAAGAAGATGGTATCTGGGTTAACTCCAACCAAGAGTGGGTGTCTCTTTCCCCAGAGGAATGTTGTGTAAAAATAAATCCACTAGGGAGCTTGAGCTTAGAGGAATCTCATGATGCTGATTCACCTCACAGAAGGAGGCTGCCCAAGATGAAATTCACCTTCATGTCCTATGATCATGAGTGTTCTCCATGAAAAAATTTAAGCAGAAATGACAGGGCCAAGTGAGAACATGCCAATCTGCTTCGGGACTTTTGGAAAGACTTGCAAAGCTGGGTCACCGACTACAGCCTTTGCACGGAATCGTCTAAAGCACTATTCAAAGATCCCTCCTATGGAACGTCACCGCTGAGTCAGAATTTCCACTGTGATGATTATGCGGTTATAGAAGCAGCCATGGTCTGCGAAACATTAGCGTGAAAAATATTCATTAATCACCTACTCATGACTAGGCCTAAATATGGACAGATTGGGCATGATTTGATTTATGGGGTGCTAAGTGATCCATCTATTTGTTTATTTAAAAACATCCCTTCAATGGTTCTCACAAAAATCGCCACCATTAGAAGCTTTCCCTTGAAGAGAAGATGCTAACTCCAGAAGATCTCCTTCGTAAGACATCTATATTAGTTGAAAAGAAAACATTATCAAAGAAAAATTTATTAACACTTGAGTATAAATTTATTTCTCAGACTCGTTTGGGAAGGCTAGGTTTCAAGCAATAGACTGGACAGCTGTGTTATAATGGAAGAAAAAGGAACATTCACAAAAGGCCTGATCTCTGGGTAGATTGACCGTACAATAGGAAGCCTTAGCCAGACAGCCTCAAACATGGAGTTCCTGAGCATCTGAAGGGAAAGGGTGCTCATCTTTGGGAGCAGAATAGCAATTAATTTCTAAAAAGTATTATGAAGGTAGCACACATAAAGAAACATGAAAAACATTTACGGAAAATAGAAGGAAAAGATCATTCATGATACCATGGCCAGAAAAGTTACCATTTCATACTTTGGTGCCTATTTTTAGTGTCTCAGCCTCTGCATCACACATACCTCCCTCCCTAATTTCATGAGGGTTGCCTTTATATATATATATTTTTAAATATGCTTTCATTTGATAGAGAAATTTGTGTACCTTTATTCTTCCTATTAAACATATTCTGCACACTTTCTCATATCATTTCACAAAATCCACAAGCATCGTGTTTAAGAGCCATATAAAATTTCATCAACTGGATGTGTTCTAGTTCACTTGAAAATTCCCCTGCAGTTGAACAGTAAAGTCCTTTCTACTTTATTCTTACCTGGAATCATTCAGGCTTTAAGTAACATCGGTACCCATTAAAAACTTATCCTGAGTTTAAGATTACTTCTTTAGGATAGATTTCAGAAGTAGAATTAATGGGTAAAATAGAGGAAACATTTTTAGAGTTCTTGATAGAGAGTGGATATAAACTACATTCGGTATAACGTGGATTGTACCAAAATGGGAAAAACGAAGAAGAGAGGTTTTGAAAATAAAGTGGTCACTTCTCTACTGCTTTGCAGGGGTGGCTGGCTGCATGTAAGCTAGGATGCGCCTGCCACTGTAATAAAGGGTCTGTGGTCCTCGCCTTGGAAGTGACCACATGCTAGGATGGCAAGCACTGAGACGACCATCCATGCATCGAGGTAATTCACTCAAAGATGAAGAAAACTGGTGACATATGAAAGTGGATACATGATAATCTAGGTTTCACCACAGTGTAGGACCAGGTTTGAGGCCTGTCCCTGAAAGTAGCTTTTTAGAAAGGTCCTAGGCGTCACACTTCATTTTAATGTAAAATAGACTATCAATACCACGGCAGTTATCTGAGCTTTGGGAGGGTCTAGAGGCAGATTTGAAATTTATATCAAATGTTCAGGTTTTACAATACATTTACACTTATGTCATTATAAACACATAATTTTAAGATGCTCAGACCTGTGGATCAACAATATTAAGTAATGATCGGGACATGTGATTACAATTCAAGCCACTTGTGAAAATCATATAGAGCCTATATTTTGGGGCAAACAAGTGAGTAATACTTTAAGAAGTATAGTAAAAATCAGTGGGTGAAAATTAAGGGGTTGCTGATGGAGTCATCGAAGGCAGAGACAGCAAAGCCCTGTTGGCTAAGATGCCTCATTCTCACAGAAATTATATTAAAGGTCAAGCAATACATCGCACCCATTGCTCAAACCAGGAAAATGATTGCTTATAGGAAGTCTTAAATATTAGAAAATACTTCCAAATACTCTGGATCCAAAATGCTTATTGCAGTTTCTACTAAAATTAAGTGATGAATTTTCTCATCCATGTACATCTTGAAGCTGACGGGCCTGCCTCTTTTTCATCCCAGGAAATCAGTACGTGGAAGAGGTAGCAAT